TGGAATTTGATTTATTGTATTGGCTGTATTACTAATGAAGTTGTTCTTTTTTGTTTTTTTATTTAGCCCAGAGCTCAGTTTCTATCAGCTTAATTTAAAAGTATGATTTTGATTTTATGAATTTAACATGTTGAAACAAAAAGGAAAAATTATTTTTCAGTGAATGATCTTAAAATGTTTACATTGAAATATTTTTAATCAAGTTATTCAATATTGCTAGTTTATTTTAGTAAAATGAATTATTAAAAATATCTTAGAATAATTCAGTTAGCCTTTATATAGTCTGTACATTGGCAATTAGCTGTCAGATCCTAATTCTTTAAAAATATGAATTCATTGAAGACCTTTTTCTATTTGATCCTGATTGAATTTCTTGAAGCATAAATACTTAAAATAATAATCTTTAGTAGAGAGGGACAGAGGGTAGGTCAATTAAATGGGCAGAATGCACTTTCATTTTCAACTGATGTAACTTGAGTAACATTTTTTTTTCTAGCATGACAGTCAGTATTATAATGCAGCATGATGACATTCTTTTTAATTACTAAACTCTGTGCTGTTTGAGTTAACTAGTTCTAGTAGATTTACTAATCTGTGCATTGTTTAGCCACTTTGAAAGAAGTTATGACATATTAAATCACTCTTGATCCATTAAATACTTACTATAAATTTTCAGGGTTGATATAGCATAGTTTCAATTTGTTTTTATTTCTCATTTTAGTAATTATGCAGATATTCTGCAATATTTTAAAAATATACATCTTTCATCTTTACAAATGATGCAAAAATGAATCTACTTCATACTTTAAAAAAAAATACTGTCCAGATTAGCCACTTTCATTTCTGATTGGATCCTTTCTAGTATGGAGAGCTTCATACCTTTCAAAGGTATTAGCAAAGGTTAAACAGTCAGCATTGGTACATATCTGAATGTGTTGCAGTCATAATTGACCATAATCATTATTTCCATCTTTATCAACAAAAACAGTATTGACTCTGTATTGACTTTTGGAGAATGTTTAAGGTCAGCTATGCATTACCAGTTCAAGCTAGAATTAACAACAAAAAACTTGGTTCCATGAGTTCTGGAGAATCAGATTTTTAACCAAGGCAAATCATTTGTGCCTACTTTAATGGCTTTAGATTTATTTCATCTTCTTCAAACTAGGCTAAGTTCTTTGCAATGAACTCTACCTCAAACTCCACACTAGACAACTAGGGCCGTCTTCCCTTTTAAAAGGCACAAGAATTGTGATTTCCCTATCTCGGCTTGGGAAGTTTCCAAACTCCTCAAAACATTTGATTCATTTTATCTCCAATGTTGATAGTTATTTAATTGCTGCTTGAAAAGAAATGTTACCCAAGTCTGTAGAAGTTGTCAACTATTTACTCTGTTTTCAAGAATGCTGGTTAGTGTTCATTTCCCTCACAGTATCACCTTTTCAGCCTCCTTAGTGTCATTAGCAAACTCTGACATTGTTATAAATAAGAAGGTAGTCAATCACCTTATCAGAAACCACCTCCTGAGCAACAAACAGTATATGTTTCACTCCTTTAGATCCACTGCTGATGTTTTATCTGTTATCACTCAAATAATGAATGAAGTGCTCAATGGTAGCTTTATCCCCAGAGCATTTGTCTTAAACATCTCAAAAGCTTTCAATAACGGTTACTATGCTCTCCACCTATGACATCTCAAAGTTTAAGCAATAATCAAGTAATTTCTCTTCGGTAGACCTATGAAAGTCATTGTGAATGATCAGTCTTTCAAAGTTGATTAGATCAATGCATGCATCTCCCCCCACCAAAGCTTTCAATTTAGTTCTACCCTCTATTTGATTTTTATTCAAGATTCCCAGATCACTAGGAAATATCTATGTTGATGATACCACAGTTTATGCACACCCTTCCAAAAATCAAAATGATAGAAGCTTTATAGCTGATCTCTTCTCTGATTTAGCTCTAACAGCTCAATGAAAGGAAAAACTGGCTTGTATTTTTCAATGCTTCAAAAACAAAGTTAGTAGTGTTTACTGATTACTGTTTTGACCCTGAGTTTTCTCCAGTCATGATGAACAGTTCCACTTTCAGTGACTGTCTATTTGTATAGAGTTCACTCCAGATATCAAATAGAACTTGTATATACAATACATTGCTAAAGAGACTGGAAAAATGGTCAGCTCATTCTGTTGCTCCAATAAGTACCCGATTCTTTCTATAAAGCTTTACCTTTGCAAGAGTCGGATTGGACCTAAAATAGTATTACTGCCATATCTGATCTGGAGTTGCTCAATCGTCCCTTTCCAGCCATGATAGTTTTCCAAATCATTTAAATGGTCTTCTCCATTCTGAAACCTCTTTCCTATATATTTAACATTGCAAGCCTATTGCCATTTCCATAGTAAATGTTCAAATAAGCGCTCCATTCTTTAGTTTCACCAGTCCAGACCATTACAGCTAGGAAACACCATTCTACTTCCACAGAGTTGAATTACTCTGATTTCCTCTTTATTACAAACATAAAGTTCCGCTCGGGTAGCTTTTTCCAAGAACTGTCATTTTGTGGAACAGATTCCCATGTGGGTGCTTCTCTGAATACCTCACTCGTAACCTAATCAAGTCAAGTGTTAATCTTTACCTTCATAATCTTCACTTCCTCCTCTTTTATTTATATCACCCATTTTATTCAGTAATCCTCCATCCCAGATGAGCTTGAGTATTTAAAAAAAACAAAACAACAAAAAAAAAAAAAACTTAGTAATCCAAGCCTCTATACCTTTTGAGTTTTTAACATTTTTCTTATCTATCATTTTTACATAATTTGAAATCACTCCTATCAATGTATTGAAGTTTGCAATTTCTACAATAGATAATTTTTTTTTCTTTGGATAATTTTCCACAGCCATCCTCAAATCATTGATTGTTTTGGTTAATCTCTCTTTGATTTCCTAAACTGAAATCTTTGCTTGCAAGTTTTTGAAACCAGATTCTTACTGTTTATTAATTAATATATGGGATTTATATACTTCACACATGTGCTTTCATTATTACCTGGTTTGAAGTTATATAAAAATGGGAAATCATGATTTTGAAAAACATTCTCTAATTTAAAAAATGTGGAAAAAATTGTATAATCAACAAATATATTGAAAAATAAAATCAATTTTTTTTAATTTAAAAAAAAAAAAAGAAAAAAAGTAGTCAAGCTTAAAGCAAAATTGGTAATTTTCTGCTGAATAACTCAATATAGAGAATGTAAATTTTGCTAGTTTAGAAGTAAAATATGAAAAGTATGTGAAACCTGTTAACTTTGATCCATTTAGGAGAATAATGTCTAATGATGTGACTTTTTTTTTTTTTTTTTTTTTTAACATCTGCTAAATTAACAAAAGTGATATTAAGTTATTGCTTTAAATACTTAGGCACTTGATAAGGGTTAATGTAAACATCTTTTATCTGTTCACAAACTTCCTAATTTTGTATTTATTAATGTTTTAATTCATAAATTAGCCATAATTTATTGAAGGCAGTTTGAAGAGTAACATAGAACTGCTTTTTATGGTTTAGATTTTTTTTTAAGGTGATTAATATTCAAACTTTTCCTAATCATCTGTTACAAGAACAATTTTCTTGTCATATTTTATTGGCTTAAACAAGTTCTAAAATAGTTTCACCATATACTTCTTGCATTTCATGTATTAGTTGTTCTTTGGTTACTGAAGAACATTTTATGGTTTCTGCTTTGCTTTTCCTTTTCCAAAATATTTTAGTGTTATACCAGATAGCTTTACTATTGATTGTTTAATGTCTACTTATGGGAAAAATTAGACAATTATATTTTAAAAGTTTTTAAAAAAATTTGAACTTTTAATTTCATTTACACTTCCTACACATGATATAATTTTTGTTTTTTGGGGTTTTTTTTTTTTTTTTTTTTTTAAATTAAATTCTTTCAGGCCATTTTCTTTACTCCTTTCAAGTATAAATACTTTTGACAATTAAAAATATTATGGTTGCTGTCATATTGCAATAACTAAATTTATATGAATGTAACCAAAAGAGGTATAATTTTAGAATTTTTTAATTAAATTTTTCATGAGGTTACAAATATCTTAAATGTCATTTTTCTATATCCTTTATTATATTGGCATAACATTTTTTGCCATAGAAAAAACTCCCACATTATATGAAAGAATTTTTCATGTCTGATTTACATTTTCATTAATAAATGCAAAACTATAAACTCAGTATGTGACAGGTAAAACTTCAACTAAGTGGATCTGTATACTTTTCTAATTGTTGGTTTCAAGATTATAACAATGTTTTGAACATATCCTTAACTGAATGAGTGAATTAGATCCCTCCCTTTTAGATGTTTCAAAAATCTTTTATAGATTTTATGTGGTGGTTTCTTTAATAGATGCTTCTTTTAAAACAGTAAAAGGATTTCAATGTATTCAATAAATCTTAATTTCAAACAGAACCAATTGATTAGTCATTTTATTTTTATTTACAAATTAAAATATAACAACTGATATATAAAATGTATGCTTATGTATTTTACAAAATAAAATATTCAAAACCACTTACTGTGCTTCAAAATTCAAGTTCATCTATTTAGATACTTTTCTGCTTTTGTAATAAATTTATTTTAAAGGTAAACAATTTGAAATTATAGCGGCTGAAGCTATAACTCTTGGATAATTGCTATCTCAGTTCTTGCATTGACTTTGCATAATTCACTTAACTCAATTAAATCAAAACTGCATTTTATCTAAATTTTTATGTTTTTTGTTACATACTAGAGTTTCCTAAGGTTAATACAAAATTAAAATGTACCAGAATTCATGTTAGGTTGTTTCTTAGGTTTTGCTCATTTTTTTTTTTTTTCCCTCAATCATTTTGACTTGCTATTATATTAAGTCATTGTTCAAAGTCTGGACATTAAATTTTGTGCCTTTTTATGCTCTGTAATTTATTCTCTTATAAACCTTTCAGAAATGCAGTCACCTAATCTTATTGATGGTACACCATACACTGGGGTCTCATCACCAAAGGGAACCAGCCCTGTACCAGCTAAATTTAATGAAAGATCTCCTATGAGAACTCCTCCTAAGGTAAGGTTAAATTTCTCTTATAGTTTTCAATCTTGTTTTTAGTGTTTAATGTTGATAAACACTATAGATCTGAAGATTTCTTTAATTTTCTCTTGCTTCAAGAATGCAAGTTACTTCAGTTTAACAAAACTATTCAAATTTTAACTTTATTCAATGTTTTGGTTTTCTCATTGCCTGCTTTTTCATTGTGAACTTTGATAAACCATTCATTTTTAAATTACCTGATTTCTATACTTCTATTTCAGTTTTAAATTAATCATAATAATAAACAATTTTTTTTTTTTTTTTTTTTTTAGTTTGGGTTAATAGCTTTATTTCCTGGATCACTTTCCATTTAGGGTTGAAAGAGAGGACTGTATATTATTGTTAAGCTGGTTTCAAATTTTGATTTCACTTTTATCATCCTATTTGCCCAAAACTTATAGGATCATATTCTTGTGTAATCTCAAGTATGTTTCTAATTTTTAACATGCCCTAACTTATTTTCCACTTTTTTTCCAGTTTTTTGTTGTAAAATATGAACACTGTTTTAATTAATCGCACAGTCAAATTAAGCTTTTATTTAAATACTTAAATGAATATCTGAATTTAAATTTCATTGACACATTATCACATGTACAAAGGAAAAGACTTTTGTTGGCTATTTACAAAATTATCAGAATTTCAGATTTAAAATGACAAATCTTTATGCTATAATTTTGACTTTTTATTAAGCTTCTTAGGTTGGTCAAAAAGTAATGCCTATTTTTCATTAATTCCAACATTTAAATAGTAGAAGCATCCAAAGCATACCAAAATGAATACAAAATTCTCAAGCTTCTAAATCTAGTTTTCATTCCTTTCAAAGATAAAGAAAAGAACATGTCTCCTATGCTCATAAGATTCTTGGTTGCAAATTGCCCTTTTCACCTCACCGTCATCATTGGAGGACTACTCTTTTCTATGTCTTGCCTATGTTTTATCTGTGTTGCACAGCTCCAGAAGCTCTTGAGCACTACTTTTTTTTATGTTGTCTTTCAACATTCTGGCAACTCATTTTGTAGTTAAAAAACTGCAGGCAATATCATGACTTGCCTGAAGGTGTTCAGTGTCTTACAATAATGATTCTTTCAGCTGTAATAAAAGTACTAGCATATTTGGCTTTATCTCCATTTATACTAGCAGCTGATCTGCCACTGCAGGGCCTCTCAAATTGTTATTAACTTTATGGACTAATCTACTTAATCTGTGCTAAGTATTGCCTTTCCATAAGCATTCACTTACCTCCAATGAATGGTTGCAGCACATTTGTATTACAAAAATAGGAATTTTTTTTTTTTTTTTTTTTTTTTTTTTTTTTTTTTTTTATAAAGCGTTTCACCCCAAGCAAGGCGGGAAGCCACTAGGATGCAAGGGGTTACAGAAAATTTGGAGCAAAATCAAATAGGAGTGATAGAAGAAAGGATGAGAAGAGTAGTGGATAGATCAAGGCAACTGATAATGTCGATTGACATTATATTTGAATAGCAGGAGATGCGAGACATGAAGCTATTGGAGTAGAAGAGACGGCTACATTTAGGAGTTTTGACAGTGAAGGGGTGAGAGCGGGATGCCAGCCTCGTAGGACGCTTGAACTCATGAAGGCTGGGAACCAGCAAATGCAGCTCCTTGGAGCAATTGCCATGAAAGTATTTGTAAAACAGACAGAGGGGCGACGGCACATCTGTGAGAAAGTGACTGTAGACGAGATGCCAGATCAGGGCCAATTATATTGCATATCCACCTCTGGAGCCTATCAAGAACCCCAAGGCAAACAGAAGGGGCTCCAGACCATATATGGCAGCAATATTCCATGCAAGGGCGAATTGTTGATTTGTAGATCTGGAGGATTGATTCCGGGGAGAAAAATTTCCTGGGACGGCACAGGGAGCCAACTTTCCTTGCGGTGGATGAAGCAATTGACTCAATGTATTTGTTCCATCTCAGGTCAGCCGTCAACATGAAACCAAGCAGCCACAGAGAGTTGCTCTCGAGAAGTTGAGTGTCAGACATTCTAATGAAGGGCAGGGAAGGATCTCTGTGGTGATTTAATAGAGAGCAGTTTTGTTTTTGAAGCATTAAAGTTGACCAGCCAATACCTGCCCCAGTTCACAACCGATTGGAGGTCCTTTTCGAGATGCATGGCCAGGTTAGTTTCGTCAGTGACACTAGATTTGTTTTTGAGGCAGGAATAAATTGTGGTGTCATCTGCGTAGATGCCAACTTGGGAATTTATGGCGTCAGGAAGGTCATTTATGTAGATAAGGAATAGTGGGGCCTAGGATGGAGACTTGAGGAACACCTGCGTTCGTGGGATAGGAACTGGAGGAGAATCCGTTGAGAATGACCTTCAATTCACAGTTTGACAGGAATGATTGTATTAGGTCAAACAACCGACCCGTAATGCCATAACCCTGGAGCTTGCGAAGAAGGCCGGCATGCCAAACCCTATCAAATGCTTTAGAGATGTCTAGGGCCACAGCACGAGCTTCCCCGTTATTTTGAAGAGCTCGGTAGACAGTTTCAGTGATGGCCGTAAGCACATCAGCTGTAGATTGGGCAAAGCGGAAGCCATATTGCTTGTCTGAGAACAGATCATGGGATGTGAGGTGGTTAACCACCTCGGTATTGATTAGGGCTTTGAAGACTTTGCCGAAGAGGGGTAGGAGACTGATAGGACGGTAGTTAGAAGGGTCAGAGGGGTTACCAGAGTTCTTGAAGACAGGAACAATCGAAGAGGACTTCCAGCAGTCAGGAAAACAAGATTCCTTGAGGCAGTAGTTGTATAGTTTAGAAAGGGCAGGCACCTGTTCAGGCACGCATTTCTTCAAGACAATGGCTGGTATCCCATCTCCACCACTAGCCTTGTTGGGGTCTAAATTGAAGATAATGCCCAATACCAAAGACTGGGTTATATGTAACCCACTCAATAGGGCATCAGTTCTAAGAGGGAAGTCGGGTATGGGTACACCGGAAGAGTCAAGTGTCAAGTTAAATGAAAATTTCCGAGCAAAGCATTCAGCCTTGTCAGCAGAGGAGGTCAGGACTTCGAACTGGTTGAACAATGGAGGTCTAGAGGGTTTGCAATTGTTCAATATGCTCTTGCAGAGATGCCAATAATCTTTGGAGCCAAATTTGCGAGAGGCAATACGCTCCTTCATCCGAGCAGCAAATAGTGACTTAACATCGTTGAGGACACACTTACACTTGTTACAGGCGGAGCAAAGAGACGTCTATTGCAATCAGACATGTCGCTATGGAATAGGTGAAAGAAGTGGTTCCTATTGGTGATGGCGGCTGAGCAAGCAGCGGAGAACCAGGGGGAGGAGCACGACTTGAACCTATATTTCCTTGAGGGGATGAAAGCATCGATTCCAGCTTTAACCCAGGATGAGACCTCAGAAGCACATTCTTGGACGGGGAACGTAAAAACACAATTCCAGGGGACATCACAGAGGAAATCACGGAACGTGTCCCTGTCAGCTCGTTGATAGTAGAACGAAGTTCTAGTGGTAGGAGGTTCTTTGCAGGGGGTGGAGTTGAAGGAGATGTTAACAGATACTACCGCATGATCAGTTACCAAGAGGGCAGAGTTGCATGGCGCTACAGGACTCGGGGATGGAGGTAAAACACAGATTGAGAAGAGAGGCTTTACCTTCCCGGTTGAAGGCAAAACAAGTGGGGAAGTTAACTATCTGCGCGAGGGATTGAGAGACTGAAAAATTGAGCATTTGAATGCCTGCGTGGTCAGTAGTAGCATTCTTAAGCCACATGGTATGATAGGCGTTAGTTGCCAAACACAAATATGTGAGCAAACGGGAGGAGGGAGAGAGCCTTGTCTATGCTGTCAGAAATGCTATCGAGTATCCCACAGTCTTGAGAGGATAGAGAGCGGTAAAGGAAGAAGAGATAGCTTACCGCATTTAGAAGAGATAGTCGGAGACACATGTACAAATGGTCTGGCGATTCGAGAGAAAACTCTCTGGCCAGAGGGAGATGGTCCTTGACGTAGACACCAAGGCTGTGCATGTGGGTTATAGAGTCCTTTCTGAGGAGAGGAAGGTAGCCTGGGATAGAGAGATCAGAGGAGGGGATAGACGAGACAAGGTTGGTCTCACAGAGAGCCAGTATATCTGGGCAGTTTGCAGTGAGGAAAGATTCTATACTGCAGAAGTTTGTTCTAATGCCACGGATGTTGGAGAACAAAATGTTGAGGGGTTTAGGTGATTTTTGAGTGGCTGGTTTAGGATTACTTTTTCAGTCTTTGTAAGTCATATGGAATTTTGGTTGGAAGATGAGAAGGCTCGAAGTAAAAGAAGCAGACAGTTTCAACCGTGACGTGGGCAGAGAGGAGTTGGCACAACCTGCATCATAATGTGGCCTCAGGGTTGCCCACCGGAGATGAGTGCAGGGACACCTTTCCATGCGCGACATGGCACTATAAACACCCCAGTATTATACAACTGTTGATCAGAGCAGCCGCTCAAGATGCTATGCAAGAGTTAGGGCTCCTAACTACCAGTCGGAAACAGCAACCAGAGAACTGTCAACCGTGTACCCTCAGAATGAAGAGGTGATGCCACAGACTGCACACATCATGGGAGAAACAGAGCTGCACTAATACAGAGGCCAGAGAGAGAGAGAGTACCAGGAACCCCTTCCTAAACAAGAAATGAGGCGTAAGCCTCTACTCGTGTCCAAGAGAAGGGGGAGGTGTGTTGACCGGGCGGTAGGAAAGCCTACCTATTCCTGTTACATATAACACATACAACAACAACAAAGACAGAGGGAACTATGAGAGGGGCAGGTAATTTGCAAAGAGTCCTGGCTGACACTTGGATTTTATCCTTTCGCAACATTAAGTTTTAACTTAGTATAAGTCCCATTGTCTATTCTAAAAAGAAATTGAAGAAAGTAAGGTTATCCAGAGTTATTGCTATGTCATAATAAATGTCCCAACATACGTGGCAGCAAGTGTTAGT